TCTGATCAGACAATAAAAAATCAACCATTTTCTTGTCTATCATGCTCTCCAGCTAATACCTCATTGAGATAGTCCTCAAGATCTGCCAAGATGCGGATATAGAAGTGGGGCACTCCTTCCTTGTCGACAATACTCTTGGCCTTCCCATAAGCCTTGCCCAACAACTCAAATTCCTCCAGACATTTGGTGACATCTCGAATCTTCATAGCATTCCGGATTGTTTTGATCAAATTGGTTAGTTCCTCAAATCTGGCAGGCAGGAAAAAGAGGACAAGGAACAATTAAACCAGGGGGCGAAGAGAAAGGCAAAATAAGGATATATACAGTATTTAGGCCATGAATAAAGGCTATGGCCTCAGAGAAGGCAATGCCACCAAGCCCAATGTAACCAGCCACCAACAGGATAAGGGGCTTTCCAGAGATTGAGAAAAATATAATTTTGGTTCAATCCTCCAAACTTTAGGTGCCCTTCTTCTTCCAGTATACATCACCTTTTGTCTTTAGCACTGCGCACAACTCTCTTTGTATCTTCTTCATCCTCACTTAGCAGCAAAGGCCTACAAGACAAGAAGGGAAATAGCTGATAGATTTTTATGAGTAACTGATAAAAGAAACTGGAAGTCAGAGGGGAACAAATGTAAGAGGGACACCTTGTGCCAACAGTTATTAGAAAAAAATCACCAAGAGGATTGTTTTATGACATATTTGAATGCATCTGTACAGAGATGCTTCAACAAATAACATTAACACTAGAATGTTTTTTCTAGCCTATTTTTAATTGTGGACGAGATTAGTTTTTACAGTTCTGCAGCTAATGCTATTCAGAGATTAGATTAGAAATGCAAATTGCAATATCATATATTTTCACTCAGTAGCCTGAACCAATATGCTAAATTTGTCATAAAAGTCTCACTCCGCCTATTTTACCCAATCTAAATATTTTCTAGGAACCTAGAACCCACCTCTCCAATCCTAACCATCCCTATTTATACTTACTGTTTCCCAAAATTGCCTCCAACAGGTTTGGCTACTAATTCATCTCCAGAGAGTGATGATTCTGACTCACTGTCTGAGCCAGTAGTAAAAAAACGCGACATAGCAACAACTTCGGATCGTCACTCAGAAACAATTTCTGACCCTAGAGAATAATATAAAGATTGAAAAGTCCAGTGAGTATGCTATTTTCATATTCATACATCTATTTCTATTGATTTGAAAAATGTTTGGAATATCAATTATGTTTGCACGCTTTGATCCAGAAAAACTTTGCTTCCTATGCAGAAAGGAAATGTTAGATGTAACTGAAACTATTATATGGATGAGATTACTGATGCTTGAGATTAGGTATGTAGCCTGCCCAGCCAGTCCACTGACTTTTCATATAATAATAATTTTTTTAAAAAACTCCACAATTACAATGGAGAGCCCAATACAGACTTATTGCAATTTAATAACCAATGACAACCCTCCCATCTTTCCTCACAAAACAAAATTAAAAAACAAACAGAAAAGCCTATGAGACACTGCACATCTGGCATAGCACACTGGCTAGTCTAGAGAAAAGAAATACTTGGGGAGGGGGATGACATAATAAGCTGACTTTGTATAAAAAAAAATAACACCGCTTAGAGGGGGGCCGAAAGCCCTACTAAGCAGGTATATACAAAAGTATGAAGGTTATTACTTAACGCATTGTAAGCCGCCCTGAGTCTCCGGAAAAGGGCGGCATATAAATCGAACCAATAAATAAATAAATAATAGCAGTATTCCAGTATTTAAGAGGTTGTCACAAAGAAAAGGGGGTCAACTTATTCTCCAAAGCACTGTAGGCAGAACAAGAAACAATGGGCGGAAACCAATCAAGGAGAAGAAAAAGGCTGGAATTAAGGAGAAACTTCCTAACAGTTAGAACAACTAATCGGTGGGACAGTTTCCTTCAGATGACGTGGCTGCTTCATCACTGGAGGTTTTTTGAGAAGAGGCTGCTGGACAGCCACCTGTCTGAAATGGTATTTAGGGTCAACTGCCTGAGCAGGGGGTTGGACTAGAAGACCTCCAAGGTCCCTTCCAGCTCTATTCCGCTTGAAGGCTCTTCTATCCTTTTGCTGGAATGTGCTGGGAGTCAACGACATTTTTAAAATGTGTCCTTTCTCCAGCCTCCCACAATCCTTAGCCTCCATGGGAATCGTAGCAGCTGAGAACCAAGAACACCTAGAGAACATCTGGTTGGGGGAAAGGGATACGATTCATAGCAACACCCATTGCTATACATAAACTTTACTAAACATCGTGTCCAAAACCCAACTAAATAACATTTAAAATCAACCGATCAAAGGAAGGCAAGGCATGCAGAAGAACGTACTTTGCCTATTTACCCTTCTACAGATGGCTCAAATACTCTATTGCATTTCTTCCCCTCCACCACCACCACCACTTCCACCCTCTGGCTCTTCCACCCATCTTCCCCTTCGCCTTCTCCAGCCCCCACCGCCGGGCAATCGGCCTCAACACGCGCTCACCTCGGGCCGCGCCGCGCAAGAGGCCTAAAAACCACGCAACCACTGGGCAAGCGCAGGGCCTTCAAGTCGTCGCGTCCTGAAACGTTGACAGAAAGGAAGAAAAAGCTGCGGGAAAAGCCTTTGTCGCAAAACCGATGACCTCTTCCCCCCACCAAAAAAAAAAAAAAAAAAATCATCTCTCTCTGGCGACTTCCGCTAGTGGAAGAACCACAAAGTTTTTGACCATAGAGTTGCAACCTCAAGTTAGAGCGGTACCATTCTGTACCACCCCCTCGGAAAATGATTTTAAAGGGGCCGCTTTCAAAGTTTGCCGGAAATAAAGCTTATGAATGTGTGTTGTATCTTTTAACTATCCACGCATTATCGCATTTTCTGATAAATAATTAACGATCTTTTTTTCACATGGATTTTCTGATTGAATAGGGATCCCCGTCTCCGCTATGTTTCATCCATATTGGGTCACTTTTTTACTTACGCCCTCAAAAAAACAAAAACAAAAAAAAAACTGGGTACCGTATATTCATTGATATCTGCGCACACTATTCAGTAATTTATGACAAAAATGATGTTATCGGTTTATTCGATTTATTTGACAAAAAAAAAAAAGCAAACAGAACATTTCTTAAGTAGCTACAGAAAACTATACTTTTGGGGCATATTTTGCAAGTCCCACATCTATAACTGCCTTCCATTGGAAACTTAGCAAAAACTCAGTAAACTATCTAGTGAACTCGCTCTGCTACATGGGAGTGGGAGGGTGGGACAAGAACAAATAATTGCATACATTTAAATTAAAATAAATGTGGTTAATACAATTTATTCCACTATAATCAATTTTCCCTTCCATTACATTAAAAATAGGTATAATGCACCCATGGCCCTGGGATATCAACCAATCACAATTATTAAGCTAAAACAAAAGACTCATGACCTTCAGTGGCATTTAAACAACCTATACTGCATAGAACAAAATTGGCATAGTTATGAGAGGTTTCAGCTCCTTGCTTACTGAAACAGATTTTGAACACAACAAATGTTTAATACTCATCTGTACATTATACATTTCATAGAAACAATATACTGTGTTTCAGCAAATTAAGCCTATTAAACACATTGTTTGCAAACATACATAGGAATCTTATGTTGCAATTGAGTTGCATTTAAAGCATGCTTTATTGGAGTTAGTGAATATTGCAATTTAATAACCAATTTATAATCTCATGTTTAATTGGCAAGGTTCTCTAGAACGCCAGCTAGCCAAGTCTGTACTAATCCACTACTGTACATATGCCTTTGGTTCTGGAATATTATACTCATTTATTTACAAGTATTATAAATGGTTGCAGCTGGAACTCTGTGCAATGTTTAATTTCCATCTTTGCACATTCAAATTAAAGACATTAAACATAACAGTATAATTATATAGGCCAGATCAATAGGAAAATGGGGGTTAGGGGCAGGAATTCCAGACTTAGTGAACTATAGCATCAGTTAATAAATGATTCTGAATGTCAGGTACTTCTGCTCATTACAGATAGCCCTCAATTATGACCACAATTAAGCTCAAAATTTCTGTTGCTAAGCAAGATAGTTGTTAAATAAGTTTTGCCCCATTTTACAACCTTCCTTGCCATAGTTAAGTGAATCACTACAGTTAACATGGTTGTTAAGAATCTGGCTTCCCCATTGATTGCTTGCCAGAAGTCTGCAAATGGCAATCTTATGACTCCAGGACACTGCAACAGTCATAAGTCAATTGTCAAGCTTCCAAATTTTGATCACATGGCCATGAGGATGCTGCAACAGTTGTATGTATGAAAAATGGTCATAAATAATTTTTTCCAATGCTGTTGTAACAGTCACTAAATGAATTGTTGTAATTCAAGGACTAGCTGTAATGACATCAATCACTGCAATATTATTTCAAAATGTTCTGGGGAAACAACCATGGGGAAATTTCATCAATCTCCATTGGCCTGTCTTTTTGCTGTTGTTTTTAGATGATGGATGTTTGGCCTATGTTTCCAGTAGAGTCCCCAACGCCTGGGCCACAGACCATCACCGGACCATGGCCAGCCAGGAACCAGGCCACTCAAGCAAGCGAAGCCCCGTTCATGCACATGCCACATCCAGGCAGCGCACAAAATCACGCCTCCCTGCCCAGAAAGAAACACTCTCCACAGAATTGTCCCCTGGCACTCAAAAGTTTGGGGGGCACTACTGTAAAGTGACAACTACAAATCATAGCTAATTCTGAGAGTGGACAAAAGAACGGGGAAGCTGCTACCAAAGGAACCATTACATTTTCTGGAAGCTAAATACTCTTTGGAGTATAAAGGGTGGTTACCTTAGAGAGAAACTTCAATGTCAGTTCTACCACAGTGTCTTGAAGAAAGATTGGACTGTATCTCTGAGAATTCAGTCATTCACGTTAGAAAAAATTAGCCCAACTCTATCCTTATTAATCACAACAATCCAGCAACCAGTTGGAGAATAGTTTTATTTACTATTTAGCTGGCATTTTCTCTCTTGTAACTTCTGCCTATAATTCCAATCTCTATTTCCAATTTTTGTCTCAGTCATTTCAAATAATCACAGAAGTCCACAAATGTCAATTTACCAACTTTTATCGTACTCTGATATAGGATAATCATTTAGCAACACTAACAGTTTTCCAAGGCCTGGCTTACTGATTAACTTCAGAAAGAAGCAGATCATACAATATTATCTTTTCCATGAGCATCTGATTTCTAACATACTCACTTATGAATAAAACATAGCATCTCTTTTCCCTCCCTTTGAATCCAGTTATGTAGAGAGGCATCTTTTGAAATGTTTCCACTTCACTTTGTTCTCCATTAAAAGTATAATACCTTTGAGAACTCTATAACATGATTCCATCCAACAGCAAGTGTGTTTTCACCCTTTAACCCTGCTAAAACCTATGCAATGTGAAGAGGAAAGAACACAATCTCAGCTGGGCTTATTAAAACCATCTAATTTCCCAAATCAGAATGTTCAGGAAATTAAGCCAAGAGAATAAATCCCTAGCAGCTTCTGATACTCCTTTTTTCTTGTGCTTGGAGGTCAGCCAATACTAATAACACCCAGGAGTTTCCCCTCCGTACAAATGGGTATCAGCCTACTGAAGAGCAAAGGTGTAGTATGCCAAGACAACTGTTGATCCCTCTGGAAAACAGACTTCAAGGCAGGTGACAGAAATAGTTGTGGACAGGGATGGCAATGGCTCCTGAGAGTGAGATGCCCAAAGTATCAGCTATGCAAGCTACTCCCATGGCAAATTCTCGATGTTCCGGTTTGCTCTGCATTGAAGAAAAGAGGAGAGGGGGTGGGGATCATATTTCTCTGCCATGACACTACATGTGGGTTTCTGGTCTCTCTACAAAGTGTATTACACAGCTTCCTTCTGGCTTTTTTACATTACTGTTCTTACATGGTGTGATTGACTAGGGCTTAGCATAAGATGTGAACCAGGCCACTCTAGTTTATTTTTAACAAACCGTGGCTTAGTCTATATGAAGCCAACCATAGATGCTAGTATTTTGTACAAGTGATTGCTGGAAGAATTACGTTCATTGAAAGTATTGAAACAGAAGTTGGATAGCCAAATATCAAAGTCTGCAAAAAAAAATTAACCATCCCTTCCAATTTGAGGATTGTCCCCTAGCTGAAATGCCCAGTTCTCCCCATTTCCAAAACAAGTTATCAAAATACTTGTTTTATCCTATATGGGTCAAAGAGGACCATTGAGTTTGTTTGCAGAGAAGCCCTGCAAATTCTTATAATGATCCCATCTTTTATTCTAGGTGGAAGTAACCTTCTGGTCAAGAGCAACAACTTATCCTTCTTTGGCCAGCTGATGAAAAAGGCCCCTATCAAACAGACTAGATCTGGGAAGCTACTTTGAAGGGTGGTTAATTGTAAAAGGCTATATTTAGAGCCTGTGCTACAATTTTGATGTGTTTCCTACTTAAAATGGGGTGCGGTGATGTGGACACTCTCTGGCCAGTGTTAAGATATTATGGTCAGCAGGATGCCAAGGACTATGAAAAAAGGGCAATGCAATATCACAGGATGTTTATTTGTTCTACACATTTGAGCATGAGATGCTCTCCTCTATCCACCCAACATATGACTGATCTTCCATCCTTCCAAACCCACCTCTTGCTTCTTCCCTCAAACTCACCTCTTCACTGACACAATGGAAAGTGTTCACATAGCCAGCTCCTCCCAGCAATCCCTCATACAATATCAGCACGAAAACCACATAGATACTGGGTAAAAACATGTAGGTCACGGCAAACAGGAGAAACACCATATTCAGGCACTAGAGGAGAACAGAAGAAAATTAGCTTGGTAAAACAGTAGCAATTTTCTGGAAGCCAAATCATAGGCAAGAAATAGTTTACAGTGGCAGGTCAGAAATTATTCGAATAGAGCAGGGGTGTCAAACTCAAGGCCCGTGGGCCAGATCCGAACCATGGGGTTCTTAGATCTGGCCCATGGGGCCACCCTGGAAACAGTTAGGGACCAGTCCATGGTGCCTCTGCCAGAGAAAACGGAGCTCAAGAGGGCCGCATGTGGCTCTCCTGAGCTCCGTTTTACTGGCAGAGGGTTGCAGGAGGTTGTGATGACCCAGGGTGTGACACAAAGGCACACAGCCGGAGAACCAATATGAGTCCCTTTATTATCACCAACTGTGCCCCCAGTGTCCCTTTCAACTCTCCGGCCTGGAGAGAGCTCTTCCACCAATCTGCAATAGTCTTTGGATGATAATACTTCAGCTCCAAATGTTGTAAACAGAAAACTTTCAACTAAAAATCCAACAAGACAAGACAAGGTAATTAATCCGGCAGGACAAGTAAAAGAGGGAATTCCAAAAGTGAAGTAGCATGGCAGTAAATCAAACCAGTTGGGAGGATGCCAGGAACTCAGATAAAGCAGCGAACACAAACTCAGCGTTTATTTCCCAACAACCGCCCCTCCCATTTGCCTCTCCTTTTAAACTCCATCAGCAGCTGTGCCTTGTAAAGAGGATCGGGTCGCTTTCCTCCCTCGTAAGCCATTCAACCCACGTTGCTCTCTTCTCTGTTCCTCCCTGCGCTGCCTAAGATAAGGAGGGGGTGGGCCTTGGTCTTCATCTGAACCCTGTTGTGACCGAGGCCCAAGTAGTGATTACCAAACACAATTCAGTCCTGAACAAACTCATTTTATTAAAAATAAATTTTATTAGTCCAAAACAAATTCTTCATAACCAGACCGTCGGCCTTATTACCAACCTTTGATGTCTTTGGCAACCTGCCAAAGGCTTTTCTTGGCAAAACCCCCACAAAGTTCAAGAGACACTGACAAGAAGCACTCGAATCAACACTGTTTTTCTACAAAGAACCCAACGGCTCATTGCTGCTCTTTTAAGCCTTATGGGAGTGCCAATCATCTTCTGGCCTTACTCCCGAGTTATCCTTTTTGCTTCAGCTGCTCTTGCTTTCTGGCAGCTCTTCGCATGTGTGCACTAGGAACAGGCTCCTCCTGTTCCTCTGCCTTTCTGCTGTCCGCCTCTGGAGGCTCCGGAGTCCACGCATCGCTCCCAGATGGCCCTGGCCCTATCTCTGCCTCCGACTCAGAGCCCTCGTCCAGGCCTTCCCCCCCCTTTTTAAATTTGATTTATATGCCGCCCTTCTCCAGAGACTCAGGGTGGCTTACAATGCGGCTTACAATGCGTCCCCTGACTCCAGGACTGGCTCATTGTCCTCCCCAGCCTACTCATTGTCCGACTCTGCTGCCAGGTCCGCAGGTTGCTGGTGGACCACAACAAACCCCGTCTCCCTTGTTCTACCTCTCCCCTGCTCTGCCCAGCCTGACTTTGCACTTCCCCAATTTCTTCCACAGCCAACAGATCCACTCTATCACTCTCTGTCAGCTGTTCCTCTTCCCCTTCAGATTCAGACTCCAACAGGGGCATGACAGAGGCTGTCACAGCCGGAAACAGAGCTCGGGAGCCTGCTTTTGCTGGCGGAGTGCTCGGGCTGCCACAGGCGCCCCCAACATGAGTGACATCAAGCTGGCCACTCCCACCTTGGCCACACACACACTCCAACCCCCCCACCCCCAAGATCAAACACAACCCTGATGTGGCCCTCAATGAAATTGAGTTTGACAACCCTGAAATAGAGGCTCACTGGTTCTTTTTTGTTTTTAATCAGTCTCTCAGGTTTTTAAAATCAAATACTTTCGCACATATTAGCAGCTTATGCCCCTGATGAATCCCTCTTGGTTAATTTTGACAGCTATTTATGATGTTAATAGAATGAATTGTTTACGGTGGTCAGATTTTGTTATTTTTATTTGTTTGTCTGATGTAAACCACCTTGAGTCTATGAAAGTAGGCCAAATGCAAATAATTCTAATACATAGATACAAAGCAAGTGGGAGGAGTGGAATAAATCTTACAATCAAGAAAGGACCTGTTTTAAGCAGATGGGAAGGAATCATTAAACGGAGAAGGAGTAACATTGATGAGGGGAATTTTTTACCTGCAATATAGCCAGAAGCCATATCTTTCGGATCCGTATACAGCTGGCAGAGGAACGGGAAATAAAAACCCCTGCCTGATAGAGCATCTGATACCTGTGAAAAGACAGTAAGAATTAGGCTTAAACCACAATATGGTTGGTTAAATTGTTACTGCTATATATGAATATACTAATTGTAAATATTAAAACATTATCTAGATGTAGCACAAGAGTTTTCACATCTATAGGTAGTCCTTGACTTGTGACCACAATTGGGACCAGAGTTTCTGTTGCTAAGCAAAGCGATTGTTAAATGAGTTACACTGGATTTTACAAATGATTTTTGCCACATTTGTTAAATGAAGAACTGGAGTTGTTAAGTGAATTACTCAGTTGTTAAGCAAATCCAGCTTTCCTATTGACTTTGTTTGTCCGAGGCTGGCTGGGAAGGTTGCAAATTGCGATCACATGACTGATCATACATATATGATGGTTGCCAAGGGCCCAAATTTTGATCCGGTGACCATAGTGATGCTACAATGGTTGTTAGGTGAAATGACTGGTTGTAACTGATTTTCCACTGCTGTTGTCACTTCGAACTGTAGCTAAACAAATGTTTATAAGTCTAGGATTATTGTACCTTTTTTCTAGCCTATCAACCTTTCTCACTCAGCTAGCAATTCATTTTTTCTCTACCAAGTAACATCCAGATATGTTCAGCAGTGTTGGATGAGGCTAATGGCAGTTACAGTCTAACATCTGGAAAGCACTAAGCAAAAAGTAGCCACTTTGTCACGTTCCCACTTACCAGCGATATTGTTCGGGATGATTTAAAGTTGTGTTTTGAAAATACAACAGTTCAAACTGGGAAAAAACAAGGCAGAGAGTCAATGTTAAAAAGAAAAAGCCAGAAAATGAACCAGCATCCACCACCAATAAAGGAATGAGTACCCATTCCACTCACCAGACCCTGGTTAATGAAGTATTCGGCAAAATACACCACGGACAAAGGGATGAGGTATTTCAAAAGACCCTGAAAGAGACAAAGCGAACAAGTTCATTGTGTAAACAGCCAAATGGTTTAAGAAACTATTAGGCTGTTCTTCCTACAAGTAACACCATCATCTACCTAACCATAATCTGGAAATATCGTACTTTGTGAGAATATCTGCATATAAATAACATGCAGAACACAAGAACTGCTCCTGAAAATTCTTATAAATTAAAGTATTACAAAATTAAAGCCAAAAAGTACAGGTAGTCCTCAACGTACAACCACAATTGAGCCTAAAATTTCCATTGTTAAACAAGACAATTATCAAGTGAGTTTTGCCACATTTTATTACCTTTCTTGCCACCGTTGTTAAGTGAATTACTGCAATTTTTAAACTAGTAAAATGGTTGTTAAGTGAATCCCCATTGACGTTTCTTGTCAGAAGGTCACAAAAAGTGATTACCTAACCACGAAGACACTGCAACTGTCATAAACATACGATAGGTGCAAGCATCTGAATTCTGATCACATGACCAATCTGATGTTGCAACAGTATGAAAATTGGGCATGTCACTTTTTCATTGCTCTTGTAACTTTGAATGGTCACTAAATGAATGGTTTTAAATCAAGGACTACCTCTATCTTAAAGTACCAAATTACGTGGATTATTTGAAGTTCCAGGGAGAATATACTCATGTAATACAGACCATAGAGAAAGTTGAATTAAATTGGTATAGCACCCAACTCTGGGTTAATAGAAACAGATGCACTTCAGAGTTATAATCTTAGTAAAGAACATTATTTATTTTTATTGTAAACTAAGCCTTGTGTGCACGAAGGTTACAATATGCATGATGCACCTGTAGAACATTGCAGCATATGTTATCACAGAAGGTTGCAACAATAAACTATAATAAAGCATCATAGCTTAAGTATTTTTGATGAAAGAAATATGGGAAAGTGTATAAATTAAAGGTATCATTGAAAAAACATGAGTTTGAAAGGCAAGAAATGTATTAATGGTCGATTTCCACTAGAAGTTAATACACAATGATTTGTATATTGTCCACCTATTGTTCCCAAAATGTGTTTTGATCCAGTCTCTATTTATTATTAAACATATATCTCTTTTTTCGTTTAGGATTGAAAGGGGAATACATGAGGCTTTCTCTCCTCATATTTTTCCTCATAATTACATGCCTGTGAGTAAATTGAGCTGAGAGAAAACAAGTGATCCAAATTCACTTAAGGAGTTTCCATGACAGAAAGTGAAATAAAACTTCAGTCTTTCTACTCCTAGTCCAGCAGCAGGTAACATACCTGGGAAACATTTTTCTTTCAGGTGCCCAGGCCTCTACCTGTTTTTTTTTAATCCTCTTTTTCAAATTTAAGATACTTCTAGGCTTTTACTGTACAACTGCTCTACCTTATTCACTAATATTTACAAAATTTATTTAAGTAATGTTCTTTCTTCTTGTCTTTTGCTGCCATGTTTTTAATCCACCTCTTCCCAGAGAAAATCTATTAAGAAAAAATTAAATAGCTACACAATATTCTTAGAAGAGATCCTCCTAGCACCGCTACACATATCAATTGTTTCCTAGGCACACTTAAGATTGATCCCCACTTAACCACCAACAGGAACATATTTATACTTGCACAGCTCAAAAAGTTCTTCCTACCTTCTCTGAGGAGGCTTCTTACCTTGGCCACCTGTTCTTTTTCCTGCAAGGTGAGCTGAGGTTTTTGTGTCACTGGAGGAGGGAAGAGAGCAATTGAAATTATAAAGATGACATTGTGTTTTCCTCTGAGAAGTATTCCAGAAACACACAAAGCTGCGGGGAGGCACACAGCCAGAGATTGACCTGATGTTAACTGAGTTAGCATTGACTTACGACCAATTGCATAGTGACTGAACTTCTGATAGATCTATTTGGGGGGAGGGGAAATTATGAACTGGGTTTGAAGTTCTGCTGCCCCTCGATGATATGACCACATCTTGGGCGCTTGGCAACTAAGTTGTATTTACAGCTGCTTGAAGCATCTTCAAAAATCATCATTTATTTCCAGTTTTCAGCAAAACCGCGCCCATCACAAACCAGTGATTTGCTTAATGACCATGTTTGCTTAACAACCAAACTGATTCACTTAATGACTGCTGCAAAGAAAGACCAGAAAATTGGGTTGGTCACGTGACCAACTCGTTTTACGACCATCACAAATTACAATTCTGATGGGCAGGCTCCATTATGGTCGCAATTCAAGGAGTCTCTGTGTTTGGTTTTATTTGGAACATGGGGGCTTTAAGGAAAGTAATAGTTGCTCTAAGCAACAAAGGTTTAGTACCTCCCACCCCTGTGTTGTGTCTTAAAACCTACAACTCCCCGTCCAAACATTGGGGGCACCGAGCAGGCCCTTCAAAAGAGGTTTCATAATCTTTCTTCACTGTCCCTACAAGACAGCTATGATTCCTAGGGATCCCCAAAATCGGCTGGGATATCGGTGCTCTTCTGGAGTTCCAGAATCCACACCGTATCGCCCGATGCCGACCACGCCCTCTCTACAACTACAACTCCTCTTCCAAACATTGGGGGCACCGAGCAGGCCCTTCAAAAGAGGCTTCATAATGCAGTCTGCCCGTAATTAATAGAAAAGATGACCTGCGATAAAATCATTCCTGCCTTTGTCCTGAGCAGAGGGCATCGCAGTGAAGGATGCAGCAAAAGCATTTTTCAGAGAAAAAAGGTTTAAAGAAAAGAACATGCATTAATGGAACATGCTTTCCTCTTCTGAGGTCAGGGAAGTCATTCACACAAAAGTCACTTACTTTGAGGGAGTGTCAACCTGTCGCCGAGAAGAGGCTGTTGAATCACAGAAGGGGCACGTGGTGATTTTGGCTTGCAGACTCCCCAACCACAGCGAGGGGCTTGGGGAGGGGGAGCCAGCAGGAAGCAATAGCTAAGGGGGTGGAAAAGCAGGGAGATGGTCATGGGCCGTAACAGGTTCTCGCCAGGTTGATATTACAGTTATTATCCCCAAAATAAAGCATAGCTTGCTTCTGGCTAGCAAGAACATATTACTTTAAGATTTTATCAGATTGTTCACTTATTGTTACTATTCTCGCCAGCTCAAACAATGCAAAGGATCCTTTTTGTGACTAATGTCACATATAAAAAACAAATGTTTAAAAAACAAACTTTATCCAGTGCCTCTCCTTGAGGGCAATGGGAGGTCCAGAAACATGAAATATAAATAAGAAAGAAAGAAAGAAAGAAAGAAAGAAAGAAAGAAAGAAAGAGGGAGGGAGGGAGGGAGGGAGGGAGGGAAGGAAGGAAGCAAGGAAGTAAGGAAGCAAGGATGGAAGAGCAAGAAAAAGAACACTTCAGTAGCAACAATAGAGGAATTAAGGCAAGATTGTTGTCAGTGTTTCAAGGCAGTCTAGACCAAGAAATCCAAATTATGAACACCAAAACTAATTTTATTATAAGATTATAGTAACAGAATTTTGCAAGTCAGAATGCGCCTCTTCTGCTTCTACTTTTATGTTATACAAAACTAGGGAGGATTAATTCTGAGACTTTTCTCCAGTTACATTCCTGGTTGGGATTTAGATTTGATTTATCAGATGTTGTCTAGATTGTGGCTCTTCCTCCTGTCTCTCAAGATTATTCTCACAGCCCATTACAGCTGCTGCCAAGTGTGACATGGGTGCCCATCCCTGCTTCAAAGCATTTTTTTGACTCTCAGTCCAAAGTGCAGCACATTCATACATTTCATATACAATCAATACCCTGCTTCTTGCTTCATTTTATGCTCTCCAAGCCACCATCATTCATTCATTCATTCATTCATTCATTGCCCACCTTTATTATTTCCATAAATATTCTTTCCTCTTCCTATTTTCCCCACAACAACAACCCTGTGAGGTGAGTGGGCTGAGAGAGAGTGGCTGGCTAAGGTGAGACTACAACTCACAGTCTCCTGGCTTCTAGCCTGGTCCCTTCACCACTAGACCAAATTGGCTCTCAATTTTTCTTCTTGATGTGTATCTCCTCTCCTTTTTTGCATCTTCATGAGGCTCTCTTTGCAAGCCCCATTCTTAGACCTCACCTGGCCAGCATGATAACAGGAACAATGGTCATAAAGAGGAGAGTATCCTGCGGAGTCAGGCCTGCCTGTGTCAACCCGAGGTAGGAAAGGGCCCCAATCAAGCCAGCCCCACCTGTTCCAGATGACCAGGCAGACACCACAGCACTTGTGGAAAGAGAAGTAAAGGAAACAACATGAGTTAGAGAGCTTTTGATATACAACTTCCACATAATCACCTCCAATCTAACTGCAGTTCTTGTAAGCAAGAAAAATATGGGATTGTTTGGCATTAGACATCATTTTAAAATGATGCATATGTGTACAATACTTTGAGATGCTCATGCTTTACTAAAGTAGTTTTTAAGTCAAAAGCTGCTCATTATTTCTCATGAGCATATGTTGGTATTACCCAGGTGCTAGCCATTTTTAAACTCAACCTAAGTAGGTTGGATACATACAGCTTATTTTTTCCAGAGAAAAATACACATCTTAAAACTGCTTTCCAACCAGACTACTTCTTAGTACAATTCATCTATCTTCTTTAAATATTAACAGAGTCAGTATTAAGGCAAATAAAACATCACCTATTAACATGCAGAAATGAATTTAACAGTCTCAGCAGTTCAGCTTAACATCAAAGCACATGTGAATCCAGTCACGTTAATAAAAAAAAATACTGAGTTCTGGTGGCTGCAAAGCTAATTTATAACTGTTCCTCCCTCTTCCTTCCCACCAAATGTTTCTGGGCCCAATTAAGCATAAAACTTTCTTCAAAGAGAAAAACTAAGATTGGGCAATGACCTCTGAACTCTGTTACACAGCCTGCCCAGCCGGTTAGCAAGAATTATTTTGCTTGGTTCATTATATGTATCCTAGTTTGAATAATTATGTTTTTGAAAGGGGAAATAGTTTTGACTATATACAGTCTGTTCTGATGTTTTTATAAACTATCTATTTGGTACATATTTTGATGGCTGCTAGGTATCTCTTCCTGCAATTTCTGATTACCAAACCTGGATACTCGTAAAGTTATATATAAACATATAAGCAAAGATCCATGAGATCAATTCTTAGTAAAGGGTTTGAATCCCACAGAATAAAATCTAATATCTGAGGGGAATTAATACAGTAAGGACAAAATTAGTCAAATGGTCAGCATGACCAAAAACACCACACAGGATATACTGTGTTTATGTGTGTGGAGACAGTTGTATCTATTTGCTAGGAGGGTGGGGTGAGGGGCTGCATTTTTGGGACCATTAACACTTTTCTTTTTCAGTTTTGTCAGTGAGAATATATGATTTGACTTTGGGATTCCAAATCCAGTTTCTGCCTTCACACTTGGTTTTTTTTAGGAAGTTACTTAGTCTTACAACAAGGCTGGCTCTCATGACCATCACTTTGTAAAGGTGGTGCCCATGAGTTTCTCAGATTTCCAGTTGGATCTATGGGCCCAGAAAAGCTGGACATCTCAGCAACAAAAACTAATTTGTTAAGAAGCAGGTGCCACACCTAACCCTTTTGTAAAGTATCATCCACCATCCAAATCCTGCAATTGCCCTTCTTGATGTTTACCTGTTGAAAAATGATGTGAGTGCAAGGAATGTTATTTCACCAAGACCAGATGATATACTGGCAAGCACAACACCTATAGCGGTGAGGGGGAAAAAGGAGACATCACATGTAAGCAACCTGTTCTCTTGTTATCAAATCTCTCAACTGTGCAGAAGGCAGATCAGGACTGGGCCTAGTTTCTTCTGTCACAAATCTATCAGTTGTATACAATATGTTCATCTCTGTGCAAGTTTTACAACTTTAGAACTTTAGCAGAATTATTTAAAATATACATGTATTTTACTGAATATTTATTTTGCCTTCCAGAAGGAATACTTCTACTTGGAATTCCAGTCAGGTTTTCCCTTCTCTATTATATTCTGTTCCATATCCACACTCCCTTTTAAAGGAATATTATATAGACTTTATGATTTCTCCAACCATGTTTATTTTTTACTTTGGATGGGTAGCAAGTAATGACACGATAAACCAGTTATGATAAACCGCAATTCTGGCATATCAGGACAAGTAAATTACGGTTGTTGATGGATCAAAGCTAAGTCAGTTGCATTTGGTTATAAATATAGGCAAAAGGACTTTGGTGTTGAAAACCAATGGCTGAGTTGAATGGCAAACACACCTGTTTCCTTCAAAATTTGAATAATCATCTGTTTTAAGATTATACATATGTGAAAATGATACTCACCCAGGAGGCTTTGTGTTGTGCTGGTGGAGAAGGCCACTAGTAAAAAGCTGCCCCAAGCTGAGGTGACACAAATGGCAACACGCAAGCTGTGGAGGAGAGGAGGAAAGAGGGAGAAAGAAAGAAAGAAAGAAAGAAAGAAAGAAAGAAAGAAAGAAAGAAAGAAAGAAAGAAGGAAAGAAGGAAAGAAGGAAAGAAGGAAGAGGATTAGAACAAACTACCAGGCAATAAACAATTTCTTATATGAATGCATTTTCCTTTCTCCTTGGCTAAAATTTCCTAATTCCACTAATTTCTTATCTTGATATGAACATATAGCTTTCTCCAATAGGAAAAAAGCACCTATAAGCACATGTAAATGTAAAGGCAAATGTAACCCCTGTACAAGCAAGTCATAACAATAGGTCAACATTCTCTAGAGCAGTGTTTCTCAAACTCGGCACATTTAAGGTATGTGGACTTCAGCTCCCAGAATTCCCAAGCTAATTTCTGGCTGGAGAATTCTGGAAGTTGAAATCCACACATCGAAAAGTTGCCAAGGTTGAGAAACACTGCAATAGATATTGACTTCCATGTATGCTGAAATACCTTTATTCCTACTACCAGTAGATATGGCCAGGTTGGAAAAGAAAGCCCAAGACACTGATCCTTTTGAATGCAAAGCATGATAAAATTGGACAGCTTTTCCCATACATCAAGAATATTTTTTTAATATAAAGAAAGTTTCCATTAGGAGTTCAGGTATAATATGTAGTCCTTAAAATGCTGGCTAGGAACTAGGAGACTGTGAGTTCTAGTCCTGCCTTAGGTATGAAAACCAGCTGGGTGACTTTGGGCCAGACATTCTCTCTTAGCCCAACTCACTTCAGAGGGTTGTTGTTATGTGGAAAAAAGGAGGAAGAAGCCTTGAGTTACTTATAAAAGTAATGGCAGGGTAAAAAAAATCTAAGAAATAATAATAAATAAAAATACGTTCCATTCTCTTATCTGCAATGATATGCTAATTATTTTGCACCAGTGCAAACTTACCCATATGGAAACAAGTGGATGCAAAAAGGAGCACTGAACTTGATGAAGAGAGTTGGCAAAATGTCTGCCAGCAGTACTGCCTATACAGGATGCAAAAAATAAATAAATTGTAATTAGTATCAAAACCTCAAAAGTACCTTACTCCTTTCCCTGCCTGATCTGGCCTTTACACTTACCCCAGTTGAAATGGTGTTGCAATCATACCGAGAAGTATTAGTGGTGGTATTCTCTGGAGAAGCACTGGGGGGAATCTGAGTGGAAAGCAAAAGACGGGAAGCAAAACTCAGGTGTGGGATCAGCAACCTGTATGGTGCTTGCAGGCTGTGGCTGCTGTGTGTATTTACTGAGCAAAGTTCCATGAAATCAGCAAATCTCTGATCAACACTCTAAAATCTCATTACATCTAACAGTCTCAAAAGGTCAACATATGTTGTGGCCCATTGGCTGCCAGCAGAGCTAGCCCATTCACTTACCGTGTTTCCCCGAAAATAAGACCCTGTCTTATATTTTTTTTGAACTCCGAAATAAGCGCTTGGCCTTATTTTCGGGGAGGTCTTATTATTTTGGGGTGCGTGGAGCAAGATGGGGTTCCTATTGCTGTCTTACCTGATTTCCAGCGCTGCGTTTAAATATTTTCAAGGAGGGCTTATTTTCGGTGGGAGGCTTATTTTAGCGTCCCACCGAAAATAAGCCCTCCTTGAAAATATTTATTTATTTATTTATTTATTTATTTATTTATTTATTTATTTATTTAGGCATGCCCGATTGGGCTTATTATCAGGGGATGTCTTATTTTCGGGGAAAACAGGGTACCTTCCCTACCAGTTCGTCTGCACATGTGCATGGCCTTCCGCACATGTGCAGTCCTCGCACATTACATCTGGGCCTCCCGCAGTCGCCACTACCAGTTTGCCCAAACCGGACAGAATTGGCTGAATTCTACCTCTGCTGCAGAGTCAGATGAAGAGGAGGTTGAGGGAGAGCCTGGGCCTGGAAGGCTCTGATAAGGAAACAGCATCAAAGACAGAGGCAGAGCCAGGGCCTCCCCCAGGTGGAGAGGCAGCTGTCTCGGCTACAGGGCCTGAGCTGAGTGAGGGGGAGGAACAGATGGGATCCATCCCAGATGTGTGTATGCACAGAGAGGTAAGGAGAGTAGAGCAAAGGAAAACAATAAGCCGGCTCTCAAGGAGAAGCAGACATGGACACTAGCCAGGCCCTCCCTGGCTAGGAAGTAAATAGTACGGGTTTGGGAGTGGCCGGTTGTCACAGACAACTGTTCGTTTTTAGGATACAACAAGCAATTTGGATTTCTAGGCCAGGATCAAGTCTGTTGGGACTAATTATGTTTTGTTTTTTGTTGATCCTTGTGAATAAAAGACTATTCCTACCCTGTTTGAAAAAGGGGATTGTGTTTACTCACGAGTAAGAGGATTATCATTACTTGCTGAGGCGGGTCAGAATGTTTAAATATGTGTATATAAATTCAAGTAGTCCTCGACTTACAACAGTTCATTTAGTGACCGTTCGAAGTTACAATGGTACTGAAAAAAGTGATTTATGGATCATTTTTCACATTTACAGACTTTGCAGCGTTCCCATGACCACGTGATCAAAACTCTGATGCTTGGCAACTGGTTCATATTTATGATCAATGCAGTGTCCCAAGGTTATGCGACAACTGGGTTACTAACTTACTATCTGCAGTCATTAACTAGATAATTGTGGTAAGAAAAGTCATAAAATGGGGCAAAACTCACTTAACAAATAGCTTACTTAACAACAGAAATTTTGGGCTCAACTGTGGTCATAAACTGAGGACTACCTGTATGTACGGTACATGCATACATATATAGAGCAGGGGTCTCCAACCTTGGCAACTTTAAGCCTGGTGGACTTCAACTCCTGGCTGGGGAATTCTGGGAGTTGAAGTCCTCCAGGCTTAAAGTTGCCAAGGTTGGAGACCCCTGTACTAGAGTGTCTAGATACTGTAGTACAAAGAAATATGAGGGAGGGAGGATTCTATGGATAATATCACTGGAAGCTCTGAATTATATCTTTCTGAATGTTGCATGAGTGCATTTTAAGAAGATATAGAATATAAAAAATTCCAGCAGTCCCTCATGACCATCTTTCACATAGTGCCTCCACTCCAAGCTTGCTGTGTTTACTACAGATAATCAGTGGTAGGTTGCTCCCAGCTCATTATAGGTCTATGGAACCGGTAGTAAAACTGGTGGGAGCCTCCACCCACCCGCCACGACATCATCATGGGTGATCTGTGCATGTGCTCCCACTGCGAACTGATAGTAAAGGTAAGTGGAACCTACCTCTGCAGGTAAGGCTCGACTTACAACTGCAAGTAGGACCAGAATTTCTGTTGCTAAGCAAAGCAGTCATTAAGCAAGTCACACCCAGTCTTACAATCTTACAACAGCCACAACTGTTAAGTAAATCACTGCAGTTGTTATGGAAATCCAGTTTCCCCCAGTTTGCTTGTGGGAAGCCAACTGGGAAGGTCAGAAATGACAATCACATGACCCTGGGATGCTGCAACCCTCATAAATATATGCTGGTTGCCAAGTGCCTAAATTCTGATCATGTAAGTGTGGGAATACTGTGAAGGTTGTAAGTGTGAGGACAGCTATCACTTTTTTCAGTGCCATTGTAACTTTGAATGGACGCTAAACAAATGGTTGAAAGTCAAGGACTTATTGACTCAGATAATCAATGTCAAATGGCTCTCTGCTAAGACATCCCTGCCAAATTCAACAAAAATGTATTTTCTACCACATAGATAGATAATCTAATCAAATGAACTGCAGCCTTCTCAATCTCTGGCTATTGGCTCAACTGGTTGAAACTAACGGGAGAAAAAGTGCACAGATAAGCAGTTCTGCTTCATTTCACATTTGTGTACTTCCTTGTTTTTTCATACAATTTTTTTCCTTGTACTTGTTTTCTACATATTTATTTCTTCCTATAACTGACATTTTCTCTTGACCTGTTCCTTATTCTGCTTTTACACAAATATACACACAGTCTTCTTCCTTGCACGCTCACCGGTCCAGTCCCATTATGCTCTGGCACCTTCTGATGGCTGAGGATGTCATGGGCTGCACTCAACATCACTACATAAGCAAAATTGTTGCAGAGACCAAGCAGCCTGTATGAGGGGATAATTTAGGAAACAACATGGAGGTTACCACATATACATACATCAGTGTTTGGGTTCCTAAAATGTGTTAAACTATAGAATAGATACTTAGTTTTGGTTTACTGGACTGTATAATCCCAAATATTGTGGTTACTGCAGTGTTTTTTTAACCTCAGCAACTTTAAGATGTGTGGACTTCAGCTCCCAGAATTTCCCAGTCAGCATAGTGGACTGGGGAATTCTGGGAGCTGAAGTCCACATATCTTAAAGTTGCTTAGGTTGAGAAACACTGCTTTACTGTATAAACTTGGTTGCAATAGATCCAATCAATGGTGGCTTTTTAAAGTACTAAGTCAACTATGCTTTACCATAGTGTGAACCGTATCACTGTTATCATTTTTTATTGTATTATAGATTTTTTAAATTGTAATTACAGGCCCCTCTTTCTTTCATAACAGAGCTCAGATGCATGTAAGCAGGGTTCAAATACTGATTAGATCCAGATCAGTTTAGCTATGTTTGTTGCATCACTCGTTTTTTCAGACTATATAAAACACTATCACCACATTCAAAATTCCCCAAAGCTCTGATGAATGCAACATAATGCATGTAACTAGTTGTACAAAGTGCGCTGCAAACAAATAGGAGGGCAACCCAGTCTAACTGGAAGAGGATGCATAAAAATATCAAGTTTGTAGAAAAGATACTCAGAAAATAAATGTGGATACAAGGCAGAAGTGCATAAGCTGATGTGCTACAACATGAAAAAGAAGCTAGTTTTCACACAACAATAAAGATGAAAGAGGTACTATGTGTAGTAGCAATTGAAGGTGTGATACTGAACATCCTGTATCTCCTTGAACCAAAGAAGCAGCGTAAAGGAATTCACCAGAAGCCTGCATTGTTTCTCAGCTGGCTGCAGGCATCCAGGGTGGCTTCGGACTCTGCAGACAGAGCCACACCTTCATCTTCCTCTGTTTGTGGGGAGAGAATAAACATAGCGGTCAGAACTGAGGAGACACCAGGGGGGAAAGGGGGGAAATCTGAACATGAGAACGGACTTACCCTCAGAATCATCCGAGGCTTCCTGCCATCTACCCCCCGCGTGCCCCATGGCAGGAGGCAGAAATCAGGGCACCAGAGGGATCACCTACAATTAAAAAGGGGAAGGAAGAGGAGGAGCATGAATGCACAACTAACTTTGGGACTTTCAGGGATGCACTGAGATGCTCCCTCTGGCTTGTGCGCGCCCCACCCCGTCCCGTTCATCCCGCTGGCTAAAGCTGCCCCGCTACCTTTAAGAAAACGTTTCGATTAGGCTTCTCTGCAAATCTGGGGGCAGAAGATTGGAGAAACTGGAAACCGAAGTCTTAGGCACAGTAACCCTCCTGCAGCTCCTACTTCCTGGTTTGATACCACTTCCTCCTGCCACGCAACGTCCTCAGCTGGGTTTTGCTGTCAATGGCGAAGCCGAGAGCGCGCACGGGAGGACCAAGGAAAGCCGGTTGCGCGCTCCGGTAGGCGCAGGATGGCTGCATTGGAAAGACCCCGTGAAACCCCCGTTAATGTTGTTTAAAAGACCGGGGGGGGGGTGTTCTGCTATCCAGGAATTCCTGCAGATGCTGATGCTTTTAAACAAGTTTGCCCGAGCCTTACATGCCGCATGCCTGTTTATTCACCCTAAAAGATGCGTGGCGGTGAAAGGATGTGAGTTTCCTCAATGTAGGTTTTCGCTATAGTTGTTTTTGGGGGGCTTTCAAAGTGGTGAAGGGCGGGGGGAGGTGTAAAAGTATGCAAACCTGGTTTGCAATACAAATCATCATTATGGAATTGCTATAAAGCCTCAAAGGCACGCTGAAACAGTAGCTTCTCTCTGGTGTAGTGAGTGTAATGTGTTATATTATGGAAAGTCTGAGTTAAATTCCACTCAGCCTGAAACTTACTGGCTGATTTGGGATTTTTAGATCAGAATCATGCAAGCTGTCAAGGTATTCCCTCTGACACTCTGGAAGTGAAAGTTAGTCTTACAAGAAGTAGGATAGGAAGAATATTGACACTTTTGAACCTGACTGTTGGAGAAGACTCCTGAGAACGCAAAGCAAATGCATCATCAAATAAATCAACTCAGAATTCTCACTCGTGGCACAAATAATCAGGCTCAAGTTATCTTATTTTGGACACATCAAGCAAAGATCAAGCTCTCCAGAAAAGGCTCTAATGCTGGGAAAGGTAGAAGGAAAGAAAAAAAGAGGACAACCAGCAAGGTAGATGGATTCAGTAATGGTGGTCTTTTGGAAGATTTGAAAGATTGCCATGGATAAAATCTACCTATGTGGTTGCTAGGAGCTGAAAATGACTTAATGACACATAATCCATTGTATGTTTTTAGGAGAAACACAGGATAAAAATGCAATCCATAAAGTCCAATCTAGGTTGAAGTAACCTGTTCAAGAAAAAAATCTTCTTGATGTTATTGTAAACAAGGTCTCACATCAGTTTAAGGTGAAACCGAGAGCCACCTCAGTTTTAATAAACAATGACTCAGCTATAATATCCATAAACAATGGGATAATTAATAAACAGTTATGGCTGTATGCGCATAAATAGGAATAATATCTTTTGTAAAAGAGGATTACCAGCCTTCCCAATACTGAAGTGGACACTCTACTCTAACCCAGGGGTCTCCAACCGTGGCCACTTTAAGCCTGGAAGACTTCAACTCCCAGAATTCTGGGAATTTAAGTCCTCCAGGCTTAAAGTGGCCACGGTTGGAGACCCCTGTTCTATCCAATTCCAATTGCCAGTAGACATGCTTTTAAGTATCCTAAAAATAATTAGGGGTATTCAAATTCACAGGGTGTTCATGTAGATATGCTTTTACCATGTGTTTTTATAAATTGTTGTCATAATTAATGTTTTTAACCCTATCTTAGTTGCCCAGAGCCACATGGAAGCTATATAAATTGAAATATTTAGTACTGTCTCATTCTTTTCACAATATAATTGGTATTACTTGGTGGTTTTTGAACTGAGATCAGCCTTATAGTCTACCAACTACTCTTGGTACTTTTCCAGAGGTCAATTAAACAAGACACTTATGCCAGAAAAAATCCACTGCCTTACCAATGAACTCAGAATAATGCATTCCACAAAAGTTCAGCCATTCTTCCTGTAATTTACTCAATTCTGAAACCATTTCTTCTTTCTCAATAATATTGTGTACTTTTCCATCCAATAATACAACACTGTTTTGGGACCAGCTCTGGATCTGATCTTACAATGTCATTGTCTTGAACTGAGTCAATCTATTTCTGTCTCTTTTCATTTACAAGAAACCACAACTACATTGGAATTTTATTATGAATCGCTGCAGTTCTGCAAATCCAGTATGTTGGCAGGAATCTGTACTTCTCTCTCTCCCCCCCCCATCCCTCAGAAATTCATTGTGTTCCTGGAGTTTGTATCTTCTGTATGCAATGTTCAGAATTTTTCCACCACTATCCCCAATCTATATCAAGGTCCTAATCCAGTGCCTAGAGGTAGTTGGGGTCTGAATGGGAAGGAATAGCTCAACCCTTGTGAGACTGAATGCCTATGGATATAGAATTCTTTATTGGCTAAGTGTGATTAGACACACAAGGAATTTGTCTCCGGTACATAAACTCATAGTGATAGATCATTATCATAGTCATTGTAAAAATACATTCATCATAAAACATTAGATACAACACTTAGTGATAGTCATGGATACTAAATAAGCCATTGACATAAATCATACTAGGATACTAAGTAAACAATATAAATTGTAAGATACAAGCAACAAAGTTATAGTCATAAGAAGATAAGGAGATAGGTAATAGGGAAGATGAGACTAATGGCGGTAATACTGTCTTTCTGGATAGTTTGACAGTGTTGTGGGAATTAGTTGTTTAGTAGAGTGATAGCATGGGGGGGGGGGAACTGTCGTGCCTAGTTGTTCTGACATGCAGTGCCCTATAGCATTGTTTTGAGAGTAGAAGTTGAAACAGTTTATGTGACGAGTCTGTATATATTTTTCCAGCCCTCTTTTTGACTCGTGCAGTATACAGGTCCTCAATGGAAGGCAGATTGGTAGCAATAGTTTTTTCTGCAGTTCTAATTATCCGTCGAAGTCTTGATGGGTTGCAGAGCCAAACCAGACAGTTATAGAGGTGCAGATGACAGACTCAATAATTCCTCTGTAGAACTGAATCAGCAGCTCCTTGGGTAGTTTGAGCTTTCTGAGTTGGTGCAGGAAGAACATACTTTGTTGTGCTTTTTTGATGACGTATTTGATGTTAGGCGTCCATTTTAAGTCCTGAGATATGATAGAAACTAAAAACTGTTTATTGTATCAACAGTAGTGCTACTGTTGATACTGTGTTGTCTAGTACTATGAATGGTGGTAGTGTAGGAGGGCTTCTCCTAAAATCTACTATCATTTCTACAGTTTTAAGTGTGTTCAGTTCAAGATTGTTCTGGTCACACCCAAGGCTAGTTGTTCAACTTCCCATCTGTATGCAGATTCATCATTGTCTCAAATGAAACCAATCACTGTTGTATCACTTGCAAACTTCAGTACTTTAACAGAGGGATCTTTTCCAGATGCAGTCATTGGTATATAGAGAGAAGAGAAGCGGAGAGAGTAGACAGCCCTGGGCGGCTCCTGTGCTAATTGGACAGGTATCTGATGTGATTTTGCCTAGCTTCACTTGCTGCTTCCTGTCTGTTAGGAAGCTTGTGATCTACTTACAAGTGTGGTCATATTTGGATTATCTGGATTTGGGGACTTTCCGGCTTTAGCACCAAATAAAGAAGTTGCATGTCCCATTGGTCTGGTGTGTAATTTGGGGATTGTTGTGGACTGCCCACTCTGCTCAAATAGCAGGTGGCATCTACTATTTGGCCTTTGCACAGATTCATTTTGTATACCAATTGTGCCCATTCTTGGACTGGGAGGCCATGCTTACAGTCATTCAGGCTTTAATCACTTCTTGTGTGGACCATTGCAACAGAGTCCACATGACCCTAACTCTGAAGATCACTTGGAAGTTGTAGCTTGTTTAGAGTGTAGTAGCACAAGCAGTTATGAGCATTTCACATTATACCCAGGTAGCATCTCTGCTTTTTGACCTCTGCTGATTGCCATTAGTTTTCAAATGCAATTCAAAATGCTGGTTCTCACCTATAAAACTGCTTGTGGCATATGGCCTGGTTCAATAGTGGGTTTCAATTTAGTTTGCTACCAATTCGTTCGTGCACACATGTATACTCATGCACACACACAACACTTCTGTGCACACACAGTGTCTGCACATGCCCAGAAGCATCCGGGCAGGTAGGCGGAGCCTCCCACCGCTGCTACTGGTTCGCCTAATCCAGGGCGAACCAGTAGCAACCCACCACTGGCCTGGTTATTTGAGAGTCCATCTGTGATATCTGCCAATCCTATAGAATTGGATAGAGTTGGCATACTTTAGGTATTATTGAGTAAACAGTAACACCTGATGGGACTGAGGAAGATGTCTTCTCTATCATGGTGTCTGAAACATCTCCCCCAAAATTTGTGCGGCCCTTACCTTGCTTTTCTTTATGCAAGCTTTGAAGACCTGGCACTTCTCTCTGTCCCTGAAATAAGCAAGGTGATGGGTTCCTTTTAGGGGAATATGAGGAAATGGGAGTTATGTATCTATTGCTCTATGAGATGTCAATCTTTTTGTTGTTGATGGTGGTAGTGATAATAATGTTTTGTATTTAATAGTCTATTGCCACTGACACCATTATGGAATTGGGTGGCTTTACAAATTTGACAAATAAATCAAGAAAAGTAGTGGCCATAGTAAGATGCAATGATAGAGCTACCGGAAAAAGTAACAGGTTTCACAATCGCTAACACAATAGCTTTACTTTCACAAGTTATAGGGGGCGAGGCAAGGGGTAGAGTGACGAAAGCAGCATTGTGATGTCATATAATGCAAGAGTCCCATTCCATTTCTAAGAATAGCATGATCACTCAACTGCCAAATGCATACAGGTAAAAAAATGTGTCTATGGGACACAGGTCAGCCATTTATTTAATTTTCTTTTTGCAAGAGTGGGAACAAGGAGATGTTTGTTATTTCAAGATCAATGATACTTGAGATATATGATTGGAGATGTTCTTTGCATTCCCCCCTATGTATGTATTTGTTCTCTTTGTTTTAAAGTCAAAAGTAAAGACAATTGTATGGGCTCTGACGACTTCATATCAAACATATTTCATATATGTTATTAAAACTAAAAATTAATTATTCATCAGGTTTAACTCTGATCACTGATAATTTGCTACTAGTCCTTTCTCTGGTTGAAAATAAAACTTGGTGTATTTTGCTTTAGCCAGAGGTTTATTACCAGGTTTATCCCAGCCAGTATAAGGGAAGGTTGTCATTAATTTTCAGAGGGGAAAAAAGGAAGAAATAAGTAAAATTGTTTCAACCATCTATTTGTGGGAGATTTTGAAGAAGGTTTAACTAATTTGAATAATATAGTTACAACTTTATGGAAATTATTTATGGAGATTATTACATTTCCTCTAGTTTGAGGTTGATTTTGACAGTGCTTGATAGTGAGTGATTGTTCACATGTTTCTTGTTTCTGTAGGATATGGTGTGCTTTTGTTTCTTTCACAGTTATGCAAAGCCAGAACAAACTATGGCAAACTACAAGGCAAAGGAAGAAAAGGATGTGGTCAAATACTTTAGTGACGTTAACTTCCCTCTCTGAGGAGAAGGGGAAGCCACTCTGTACCTTCTCTCCAGCTACCCCAGCAGCATAATGGAGTATCTTCGATCACTTTTTGGGAGCCTGCAACAGGCTTTGGTTAGTGGAACCCTGCCATCTCTCAGGCTTCGGAGGGATCCAGAACCTCTGGCTTATTTTAAGGGGGCTTTCCAGCTTCCTGTACTAGAAGTCCATATTCAGTGTTTCTTTCTCTTCAACCCATTTTCAGGATTTTGTTTCCTCGTTCACTACTTATCTTTTTGGAAATGAACCTCATCCAGGAGCAGAAGAGGCAGGAAGTGAAAGGGAGATGAAGAACTGCAGAAGCCACCATGATTCTGAAGTGGAGACAACATACTCCGGGTAACAAGAATCTGATGTAGAATAATTGTTTCTGTTGGAGTTTGTCTGGTAGCTCTGAGGTGCAGTGACCTCTGGAGTAGAATGATCTCTGACATGCAATTGGATTTATTTCTCCTTCCCCTCCTGCCTTCTTCTGCAGGGATGTTTCTCCAAGGGAGCAATTGAAGGTCACTGAAGATCCTTTCACAGCGGAGGTAGGTGTTGGTTAAGAGGAGGTGGAGAAAAATCCTTCTGTGCTCTACCTTTCCTTCAACGAAGTTCTTTCTTTTCAGATAACCCCATTCAGTCAGGAGATCCAAGGAACATCAGAAACTGCAGTTACTGGTGATCAGGCAATGGAGTCCTTTCTCAGATCTTCCAAATTTCCCAACAGATGTGAGGGACAGGAAGAATCTGGACAAAAGTTCTCAGGTGACTGAAACTTCTGGAATGTTGATGATGCTATATTGTGAGGAATGGAAGATTCCCACAACAGGAAATCTACTGATTTTTTTTTTTTTTTTTGCTAGTAGATTTTCATTATTCTTTCCCTATGGACTTTACAACAGCATAGATGGTAATATTAAATTAAACTAGCATCTGTCTTTCTTCATGGAAAAAACTATGTCAGGCAAAAACATAACATTTATGAAAAGTGAAGTAATTACATTTAAAGAAATTGGAAGATTATACATTTAAAAATGTTTGAAAAATTAACATAAGTAAAAGATAATATAATGAAAAGTTGTATTAAAACACCTCTAACTTTTTTAAATTATGAGGAGACACTGGTAAAGACATGGTATTAACAGAAATGGCCAATGTTTTCCTACAATTTTTCTTCAGTGTTTACAAATGTGTTCAAAAGGCTCTGAACTTGAAAGATTGTCCTACTAATGTGGTTATAAAACAAGCTTGCACAATCCCCAGAGTATACTCATATTTCCTGTCCGTGTGTGTGTGTGTGTGTGTGTGTGTGTGTGTGTGTGTAGGAAGTTGTTTTTCAGTTGTGAGTTTTGCACATGCACTAAAATATATCTCCTTTTATTGGCAAATCCCTGTGACTTGAATAAGGGGCCAAATGCTTTTAGACTAGTTTGTTATTCTATTTTATCATTGCATAATTTAATAGGAGTGGAAGATCTAGATTTCATAGTTTTCACTTGTAATCAGTTTTTCATGTTGTTTTTCTCCCATCATTTTCTGAGCACTCTCATATACAATCTGTTAAAGAGAAAAGGATTAGACAACATAATGGTGTTTCTTCACAGATAACAATAGGATCTGGGAGTATCCTCTTTCTTTAGCATTATATTTATCTTAATTTATATTTTTCTCAGAGCTCAGGACATCAGAAATGAAGGTTCCCTCTCATCATTACACAAAAACTGGGAGATGAATTAGGTTAAGATTTTAAAAAAATCTGAGGGAGCCACATGGCCAAGTAAGGGCTTGAATCTGAGTTTCCATTCCTAGGTCCAAATTCTTCACCACTGTGTCATTGATTCTCAAGCTATGTGATTCAACTTACACTGAAAAATCCTGAAAATTATATATGTATAATTATATTGGCCAGTGTATATGTATGTGCATGTATGCCTGTTTAGGTGATAATAATTCTGTTGTTACTGTACTGACAAAGATTTGACTTTAAATGGTCCTCTGTAATTTCAGATTATCTTGTGATTTGACAAAAAAAATATTAAATTTCTCTCTCTCTGCTGTGTATTTTTTAAAATGAATGTATTAGCTTGCTTGAAAAGGGTAAAATGGATTTTTTCCCGTTTATAGCAAGAAAAACACGTGAGAGAGATTATTTCTATCCTTGGTTGTTCTTCTCTGTGGTATGCTCTTTGGCTCTTCTTGGGCTGGCTTTTGACTTCCATAATTTCCAGCTAACTGGCTTTTTATTATGCTAGCTGTGAATTATGTTAAAGGCTAACACATGGCTGCAAAAGCCTGGGAAAGGCTAATATGAAACAATTGTCCTGTTTTTTTTAAATGCCCAGAGATAGAATAACATTTATTCTATACTCTACTTAATTAGGAAGGTATTTATTGACCATACTAAATCAGAAGATTGACACTACTGTATGGATAAAAGGAGCAGAGCCCCAGTTGCAGAAAGCTGCTTTAAATTCTTGGATGGTCAGTCTTGGGGAGAAACCCAAGATCAATTAATTATATTCTTTCTTATTTTTGCCCCACAGTGTCTTCTGTGTGTCTCAGTGATACCCCCGAACTAGAATCAACAACACCTATGACAGACATCATCCAACAGGCACCCTTGGAGGCACCAACCATGACCGGGAGACTCTGTCAAAGAAAATCTGAAGAATCTGCTTTGGTGGAAGTTGCACAGGAAGACATGATAGAAGAATTGGCAGATGCAGTTTGTAGTCAATATTGCAGTCAATTGAAGCCAGATGAACCTTTGGCAGAAAGAAGAGAACTTGGGCAAATGGAAGAGGCAGGAGAGACAGGGATGAGTCATGAAGCAGAACAAGACAGAAATGTATTAGCTGAAGGGATTGAGCAAGGAGCACCAAACTGGGCAGCATCTGTAGAACAAAAAAGAGGGCCTGAAGGGGCAAGGTGGACTGGAGAGATCGTTCAAGGTAGTATGGAAGAGAGGGCTGAGATTATGGATAATCAACAATTAGAAGTTGAGCCGGAACAAAGAAAGGTAGGTGAGAAAGCGCAGGGAGAGATAAATACAGCAGCACTAAACCAGGCAGAGGATAAGGTGCTTGAAGAAGAAAGAACAGTTGGAAGAAGTCAACTGTGGGATGAAGAAGCAGAAAAAATTGCAGAAGATCAGGAGAAAGAGTTGGAAAATAGGTTGTGGAATGAGGGAATTCAGCAAAAGCCCCTAGACTTGACACAGGATAGAGAGGAAAAGCAGAGAGGACAAGAAGATGCAACATGGAGTAGGGGGACTCAGCAAGATAGATTGGAGGAGATGGCTAAGATGGCAAGAGACCAGCAGTTAAATGTTGAAAAGGAACAGGGAGAAGATATAAGACTGGATGGGAACGAACAGGTAAAAACAAGTGTGACAGCAGAAATCGAAAGAGACCAGGTGAAGATGTTAGAAGAGAAAGGGAAAGATGAGAGAAGCTGGAATTTGGAAGAATGTTTAGGAGGAGCTGAAGAGGGGAAGGAGAGAAAGCTGGATGAAAAGGAAAGAGAACTAGAGGGAGTCACCTGGACTAATGAACTTCAGTATGATGCACTAAATGTTACAATAGTGAAGACCCAGGGTTTAGAATCTGGGGAGGAACAGGGAGAAGGTATAGAGCTGGATGCAGACCATCAGATAATGAAGGAAATAGTAACAAAGAACGAAGAAGTTCAGCAACCACTACTGGACAAAGTAGAAATGGAAACAAGCCAGAAAAAGGCATTAGAAGGGGAAGAAAAGGAGAGATGTTTATATTGGGAGCCCAAAGAAACTGAGATTATGATAGAACAGAAAAGGGAGGCACCAGAATTGGAAAAGGGGGAAAATTGTAAGCAGGGAGATTTACCTGAGAAAGGAAAGATAGAAGAAAATCTGAAGCAGGAAGTAGAGGAATCTGTGAAAAATGAGATAAACTTTACCAGGGAAAAACAGGAACAGCAAATAAGAGAAGAATGGTGTGAAAATAACCAGGAAGAACAGCCTGAGATATTGGTAGATACTTGTGGTCTTAGTGTAGAAATGATGGAAGTGGCTGAGACTACATCAGACCAGTCAAATCAACTGGGAGAGACCACAAAGATCCTGGTGTACCCGACCTCTCTTGATACAGACCTCCTGGCTGGACCCAGAGTTTTCCCACATGATGTAAGCATAATTACAAAGGAAAGTGGAGCATGAAAGTAGTCAGGAGAGTGAAGTAATCATATCCATCTCTATTCTGCAGGTTGCAACACTGGATAGCAGTGCCCAGAAGGAACGGGTGTTGCTACGTCGTAAGAGCTCCATTCGACGAGCACCCAGCTTGAAGAAACCAAAGCCATCAGCAGAGGTTCCAACAGAAGAAACAAAGATGGCTGAAGATGCTCCAGCTTTATTGGAAGTACCAAAGAGACAAAATCCAAGATTGTCTGGGTAAATCTCACAACCACATCCAATAGTAATTGAATAGTAGATATTAGTGTTGTTGTCTTGAATTTTGTCTTAATCTACCCATTTATTTTGCTTTCCCAGGTTTGGCCCTATGCACCCCAATATGATGGCTGAACTTCAGATGCGCCTGCAAAAGCCGAAGTGATTTAAGGTTTCAAGAGCTTTATCAAGCAATGAACTTGCATGTTTTTGGCTCTATCCTGGATCAAGGCACCCTAACCAATAATTTCAAAAGCAATGGAGGCACCATCTCTCTCTAAAAACCAAATAAATTAGATGTCCATTCTAAATTAAATGGTTAGTGAGGAAACATTGTGTACCATATGAATAGAAAATCTGAGAAGTATTGCTAAAATATCTCAGCAGATCTGATATTTTTATCTCTTCACCTGAAATGGGGAACTTCAGTTTAGCTTTCATTCTATTCATATCATACTTTGGAAAAACAAAGTTATTAGGTGGAAACTACCTAACAATTTTGGAAGGTTATCTTTAGATTCCATTATATGGTTTGGAGTCTATCCTCACCATGCATCAATTTAAACTCATTCTATATTTTATAAGAATTCAGTGAAACTGAAACATGTCTGAAGAGATTACTGTATACATTGAATCCAAGAAATATGTGCTGATTAATCATAACGACTGAGCTATTATGATAGTATGTGAGAAAGAGCTTGGAAGTCTAGCCCAAGAGGTACTACCAAGGTAACAGTCAGATAAGAGACAGCAGAGCCCTCATCTGGATAGTAGGCAGGGTAATAGGCTCAAAAGGGACCCTCCCTAGTTTCTTGGGCTATAAAGGAAACAGGAGAGATGTATTTTCAAATGTATAAGATTCTGTCAATGTAGCTTTACAATGAAGTACAATTAGCTCATCTGGTTGTGATTCCTATCTGATTTACCCTGCAAAGCCAACAGCTATAGTTACAGAGGAGAACTGACAGCAGATGGCATATACCGTATTTAATCTTTACCCCATCTGTCAGAGTTTTCCCATATTGCCCCTCCCATCACAGTCTTCTTCTCTACCCAGATTAGGATTTAGGCAGAAGATTGAAAAGATAACAAATATTTGATTGATCTGTATTTTTACTTCCAGGAGAACATAGAGATGCTTGTATCTCCTGGCAAGTTTTCACCCAAATAACTTGGTCTTGGCCTAAACTTGAATGTAATGCACTTTTATGGAAAAGGCTTCAGTTGCGATAACTACTTATTGTGGTTGGTCTTACAATCATTTATTTCTCAAGTGTGAAAATGCTGTTCTCAGGCCAATGGCTATAGGACCACTTTCCTGGACCCATTTGAAGACATTTTTACCTTTTCAGACTTGGGAATGATGGTTTTATTTTTACTGTACTTATTTTATTCAACTTTAATTGCTACTTTTAATTTTTTTTCCCCCACCATAGTATTTGTACTTTTAATTGGTTTAAGAATAAGATGAAATTCTTAATATTTAAGCTTAGTTGTTTTGTTATCTTTTATTATATTATTGCAACACAGTAAATGTAAATACAATAATGTATTATTATTGCAATAAAATAAAAGGTTGCTAGCTTTGGCAGTCAACTGCCCTTGAACTCTTAAATAAATCAGTAAAATGCAGTTGTCAAACCATTTGCATGATCAGTAATTATCAGTATCAGTGATACTGTTATCAGTAATTCCTCACAAGGAAATTAATGAGTTGTTTTCCATTTGCATGTAAGCATAGGACAAATGAACTCTGGCAAAAAAAAAAAAAATTCTGTGGCATCACTATGATGTCTTCAAATTTACAACTCATACTTGATGGAACCTAAAGCAATATTGTACTTAATTCTTCCAATGTTAGAGTTGGTTTTTTCTTTTAAGTGGCAAATTCATTCATCCATTCTGGTGTGGTGGTGATTTTGGAGGTGGGGTCAGCTTGGCATCTACTGGCCATTTCAGGCTGGTGAAGGCAGTCCCTATATCCTATGACCCTGTACAGTATCTTTCAGAATTGTTCTGGTTTGGGCAATAGGAAAGTCCAGCTCTTTTAAATTGTACTATTCCTCTTTAGCATCTACCTCTTTAATCTAGAGATGGATGAATCTCCAGTTGGGAGAGGTGTTGGCACCTTCATTACCTCACCAGGAGCTGGGAAGAAACTCGTGGTGGTTTTGAAGGAATTATCTTTTCCTTTTTATCTGATAATTTATTGGAAATTTTTCAATTGAGGTTTACTAATTAGAGAGTTGCTATTTAAATTTTCTATCCCAACATTGAATCTAACATTTTATTTAAAGGCAATGCTAATAATGAAACTCTTTTTGAACATAAGGTAACAAACCTTATAAGTATTGATCTCAGCACTAGAAGGACAAAGTCTACTGATTATGGATAAGAACTTATTTATTTATTTATTTATTTATTTATTTATTTATTTATTTATTTATTTATTTATTGGTTTGATTTATATGCCGCCCTTATCATATTTTCTTGACAGTAGCAGGGAGTTCTGAGAGGGGAAAGATAAAACCCAAAGAAAGGGACCAAGATTGAGGCCTTGGGAAAGGGAGTAGGGTTTCACAATGGAATTGGGGGCCCAAACAGGAAACCTCCACCAGGTGAATTCAGCAAGCAACAGGAGATTTCCTTTTGCTGAGGAATATGAGTTAAATAGATATAATACAATGTTAAATACTGCTTAAATATATTGGCATTGGATCTTAGATTTAAATACAGACTAATTGATTAATCAATTATATGAAATGACAAACTCTCTTTTGATCAACTAAAGATACCACCAATAAATCAGGCAATCAAATTTAACTAAAATAATACTTTTATTAACAAAATTTAAAAGTATGAAATGACCAGTTCAAGCTTAGACAAGGCAGCATCACTCAAAACATATATTTTATACCATATGCATATTTACTCAATCTGTTTTAGAAAATTTAAGAATAGTTTCTCCATAATCCATTGGGATTATATATTATATATCTTTCTGTAGATCCCTTCAAGATTCTCTGGCCCATTAAAAAATAAATAAAGTGGTAGCCACCCATATTTTTATGGATAAACAAAATATTTAAAATTCCCTGCAAACTAGCTGGCAATTCTTTCTGACCTTTGAAGAAAAAAATTACATTGTCATGAGAAAGTGCATTCACTAAACAATTGCTTATGTGAACCTGGCAAAACACTTAATTTAACAAATAAGTTAAAATAATAAAATATTTAGAAAAAATAAATAGATATATAAATTAGATATTTTAGATAATTTACAGAACAGCATAAACATTAAGATACCAGGATTCCGGCATTCCTTAGTTGTTTGGAATAAGGTGATGGGAGTTTAAAACAGAAATGTTAAGATCTGTAAATCTTGGAAGGTGAAGCCACTTTGGACACCCTCATCCTGAGCATCAAAAAATCTCGTGCGACCCGAACCAGGAAGCTTTCGAGAGAATGAAGGACAATATATACTTCTTGGCGGTTGCTCCACTGACTGTGGTATTGAAGGATCTGAGGTGTTGATATAGGCTGGATATCAGATGATAGGCCCCAAAGTGTAATCTATAAGAAAAATGAAAGCTGAATAACACAGCCAAAACCAAAGGACACCTTTCCCTAATCTATGCTCCCCCAAAAAATGGTAAACTACCTGGTAATCCACTTGATGACGAAGATCTCGGAGGTTAACATCGATATCTTCAAACTGAGAGGAGAATTTGGAATTTTCTTTGATTGCTTCAAAGTTCCTCAACTGTTGTACTAACTTGTGATAAAATGAAACGGTCTTGGCTATCTGCGACAAGCGTCTGGCATCCTGGAGAGATGTTAGAAGGCACACAAAACAAAGTCAACCGCTGAGGTGTTCAAGCATTATTGTCAAAAATAGTCAGCTCTGAAAAATGTTAGGGAAATGATTCTGCTCCCTGCCATCCATCTCAACAAACACATTAAGAATTAGAGACAGGAGTAACTTCACTCTAGGAAGAAAATGTTACTTGTGGTAGTTTACCATATTCTGGCTGAAAATGGTTTGCTTTGTTCTATATCTATATTGCATGGTGAAACTTATCAGACAATTTATATGTGTTTTTGATCCAAAAAATTTCATTCCAAGCAAAACTAGTCAGAACAACAGAATACAGAATAATAAAGTTGGAAGGCACCTTGGAGGTCTTCTAGTCTAATCCCCTGTTCAAGCAGGAAACCTTATACCATTTCAGACAAATAGTTACCCAATCCTTTCTTAAAAACCATTTAGTTTTTAAAGTTCTCTGTGCGGGTTACTTAGCATTCTTTGCACCATAAACAAATTACAATTGTTGCATTCTTTGTGGAGACAGTGGGTTTGATACAAAAACAGATTAATTTAAATTATATAAATTGGTGAATAGGTACTGCCTTCTTTCCAGCTGTTAAGTATCCTGTTTTCCTAGCTAATTGAATCCATTATTTCTGGCTTCCAGCTATCAAGTTGCCTTATTAAAAGGCTCTGATATGAACTTCTTGTTCCTTTTCTTGTAGACACTGGTGGATGATCACTAATAAGAGAGGAACTTTGCAGTGACACTTCAGTTGCCTTCATTCAAATGCCTTGTACCAAATTTGGCACTTTGACAGCACGTTAAAAACTGATGTGCTCTGACTTTTGAAAGATGAGATCTATGATATCTACACTTCAGTAATCCACAGGGCTATTAGATGGTGACAGAGATATTGAAAATTAATTCATTGCTGGACATCCATCATTTTTGTAGCCCAAATACACAAAGCTTAGCCTGGGCTCAACTTGGTGTATTTTGTGATTGGTGCTTATAATAAATGCCACTCTTTCTTTTATTGGCCTTTGGGAGAACTTTGAGAATTTTATTGCATAGTACAATATATATATATATATATTCTTACCGAAAGAGAGATCCATGTGTGAAAATCAATGCTGGTTGAGGGAAGGCAATCCAAGTGAGAAATAAGAGGAACCTCAGCTCCAGGTAAACGCTCCAAAAGCTGGAAAAAGAGAAGAAGTATGACTGTAAATAGATTTTTCAACCAACCTTATAATAGAACATTAAGAAGCATATATTACTTGAGTAGAGAACGGTATGATTATTGAGGAATTTAGAACGATCAAAGAATGTTTAACCAGAATATCTCCTTTTTACTGTTGGATTCCTGAGGGAAGTGGGATAAAATACAGAGGACCAAGATTTCAAGAGATCTCCAACAGTTAACCTAAAGGAGAGGTTTTGAGTGATAAGGACATATGATACTAAAGCTCTTTGTCTTTAGTCAAGTACATTTTCCAAGAGTATCTGGTTTAAATACAGGTAGTCCTCTATCTACAACCATAATGGAGTCTTTATAGTTGCAAGTTATGAGGATCGTAAAAGATGGTTGTTAAGCTAACACTGGGGTGGTTAAGGAAGCTCATTATTCATTCTGGGTGCATTTTTGCCAAAACCCAGATACAGATTCTGGTTTTCAACAAAAACGTCATACAATGCAGGCACATGACTTCCAGATGTTGCAAATAGCCATAAATGGAGGCTGGTTGGTGAACATCCAAAATTTAGACATGTGGAATCTGGATAATTGAACTTTTAATCTGGTTCATAATCAGCTTTTTTCAGATCTGTCATAATCGCAAATGGTTGCTTAGTGATCAGTCATAATTCAAAATCTACCTGTAACAGTGGCGGCTACAGATATTTACAGTAACTCCTGTATAGAAGGAGAAGCACTGTTTTATGAGTAGCAAGCTTTTTTTGTAATTCAGGGCCCAAAAAAGCAAATTTGAGCTGTTCTTTTCAAGGTAGGCAATATACATTGGCTTCTCAGTCTCATTTATTGAGCCTCTCTGCATTATCCTACATTCCACATTACTAATTCCCAGTTCCTAATTTCACACTACCAAACAGAAAAGTTCCAAATTTGGAAAAAGATTTGATGGAGACAGCAGCAAAAAAACAACAACTCAAAACTTCAGTTTCTCTACCATTCCTTTAGATGTGATATACATTATGGATAATAAATCCATATGTGGTAAGATTACCTGGGAGATACTTTGTGAAGATTTGAGCCCAAAATGGAAAATACAGATAGTCCTTGACTTATGACCACAATTGAGCCCAAAATTTCCATTGCTGAGCAAGATAATTATTAAGTGAGTTTTGCCCCGTTTTGCAACTTTTATCCCCACAGTTGTTATGTAAATCAGTGCAGTTTTTAAATTTTAAATTAGTAAATGAATCTGGCTTCTCCATTGACTTTGCTTATCAGAAGGTAACAAAAGGTGATCACATGACCTGGAGACACTGCAGCCATCTTAAATACATGCCAGTTGCCAAGCGTCTTAATTTTGATCACATGACCAGTGCGATTCTGCAACGATCAAGTGTAAAAAATGGTCAGGTCACTTTTTTTGCTGCTGTTGTAACTTCAAATGATGATTAAATGAATGGTTGTAAGTTGAGGACTACTGTTTCCTTTTCCCACATAGATATCCAAATTTTAAATTTTGCTTGCAAGCCCTTTGCCAAATGAGGCAAGGCCAGGGATGAAATGCTCCTGGTTTGGACTGGATCACCCGATCCGGTAGCGATGGCGGTGGGTGGTTCAGAGAACCGGCAGCAAAAATCCCTGGCCCCCCCATGCCCAGCTGAGCCGCACGATCATCAGAGGCTGTTTTCTTTACTTTTAAAAGCATTTTTTCTACAACCTCTTTGCCAAAGAGATTGTAGAAAAAATGCTTTCACAAGTAAAAAAATAAAAAGTTGGCCACACCCACGCAGTCACATTACCCCCCCCCACCAAGCCACCCCTCAGAACCAATAGTAACAAATTTTACATTTCACCACTGGGCAAGACAGAAAAGTATTAGTGAAAATGCAGGTCAATTACTTTACATAGTGATAACATAACCCAAATGCTCTTTCTCAGCAGAGTTTAAAAGTACCAGCTGAATGAACTATAAAAATTTAGAAAGTCAAGGTGTCCTGATAAGGGGAAAGGATATACAGGTTAGGTAAGGAGATCCTCAAGAAGTAACTCTTTGGGAATAATTATGTTCATGGCATAACTGCTCCTTTGGTATTTCAAACACTCATCTTTGTAGTTTTGCTCTAGTACAGCATTTCTCAAGGATAGTGTCTTTAAGTTGTGTGGACTTTGATTCCCAGAATTCCCCAGTCATTCCCTGGGGACAAGCACTGGAAATGATGAATGCCTTGAAAAAAATAATCTGACAGAGAAGGGATGTGAATGCATAGATAAGAAAATGAAGAAATCTTGTGCAGGAAAAAGAAGTACACGTGTAGTGTTCCTTCACAAAATGTTACATCAGCGGCCTCTAGGGGCCAAATGATCAGTTGTTCAGTTTTAGAATGGAATGGAATGGAATGGAATGGAATGGAATAGAATAGAATAGAATAGAATAGAATAGAATAGAATAGAATAGAATAGAATAGAATAGAATAGAATAGAATTCTTTATTGGCCAAGTGTGATTGGACACACAAGGAATTTGTCTTTGGTGCATATGCTCTCAGTCTATATAAAAAGACTAGATACACTCGTCAAGAATTACAGGGCACAACACCCAGTGATAGTCAAATGGTACAATAAGCAATCAAATCATACTAGAAAACAATATAAATCACAAGGATACAAGTAACAAAGTTACAGTCATGCAGTCACAAGTGGGAGGAGATGGGCGACAGGAATGATGAAAAGACCAGTAGCAATAGTAATGCAGCCTAATATGAATAGTTTGACAGTGTTGAGGGAATTAGTTGTTTAGCAGAGTGATGGCGTTCTGGAAAAAACTGTTTTTGTATATAGTTGTCTTGGTGTGCAGTGCTCTACAGTGTCGTTTTGAGGGTAGGAGTTGAAACAATTTATGTCCAGGATGTGAGGGGTCTGTAAATATTTCCCTTGTAGACTTTAGTTCAGCATTCAATACCATCATACCGGACATTCTTCTAACTAAACTAAATCAGCTACCTGAACACACTTGTAAGTGGATCACAAGCTTCCTAACAGACAGGAAGCAACAGGTGAAGCTAAGCAAAATCACATCAGATACCAGTACAATTAGCACCCGCCCCCAAAGGATGTGTGTTTTCTCCACTTCTCTTTATATATCAATGATTGCATCTCAAACAATCCATCTGTTAAGCTACTGAAGTTTGGAGATGATACAACATTGATTGATCTCATTCGAGACAATGATGAATCCCAATACATGAAGTAATATATTTAAAACAACTGTTTAGTTCAGTGAGGGTGGAAATTTTGTAAGTTTTTCCACTTATTCTCAACATGTTCACATACGCTTCATGTATGCATGGCCAGTTCTTTGGTCTTCCCTCAGCCATGGAAGATCTTTGAATGAGCCTGGATACGGTCATTCTATCTCAGCCCACCTCACAAGATTGTTTTTGTGGGGAAAAGAGGAGGAGGGAGTGTGGAATATGATACCTCGAACCCCTTTACAAAGTGTGGAATATGACTGAAATAAGCCAGAAGTTGCACATTGTGCATGAGGGTGAGCAACAAGAGAACTAAGATTGAAGACCCTTTATCATCGTCATCATCATCTTGGGGCCTTCTTGGAAACTTTTCTCTCTCTCTTTCTCCCTCCCTCTCTCTCTCTCCTTCCTTCCTTCCTTCCTTCCTTCCTTCCTTCCTTCCTTCCTTCCTTCCTTCCTTCCTTCCTTCCTTCCTTCCTTCAAAATTTGTATTTTCCTATTTATATTTTTACTGTTCCTGTAATTTTTCTCTTGGCAGTTCATCTATTTCTGATTTAAATTTCCCTATATTTTTCTCTTTCCAACCACTGAATATTTTTTCATATAACTGTGACTTCCATTTTCCCTTATTTTTAAAAAAATCCATGGCTCTCTGTTTATTAAGAGAGTGGCTTATCTCCCCACAGAGAAATATGGACTGATTTTCTTAGTAATGTATCTCAACACTACCGAGCCCGGTAGTGGCATAAATTTTATTTCCTTTTTACAGATAGTCCTCAACTTGCTACCAGTTCCTTAGTGACCATTTGAAGTTACCATAGATTTGAAGTTCTGACTGTCCCCCTCTCTTGCCCATAATCACATGATTGCACTTAAGGTACTTTGCAACTGGCTGGCATTTACAACCATTTGTCATTTTACAACAGTTTTACCAAAGGCCAGCATTTATTTCTTGGCTTGCTTAATGACCATGACATTTGCCTAACAACCACCACAATTAAACTGGTGGTGTGTGCAGGATTGAATGCAATACTCCAAGGCAGAGTAGAGCAGAATAATTATATATTGGTGGCAGAAATTAATCCTAAATTGCATACTAAGGCAGAAGGCAGAATATTTAGTTTTGGCATGGGTGGGTGGGTGGGGGCAGGTTTTGAGAGAAGGGATTTGAGGGCTCTGACCTCTTCCCTGGGCAGGCAGCCTTCCTTCTGACCAAATCACCAACTTCTGTTTTCCATACAAAGGATGGAAACAACCATTATTCCATCATTACTGACAGGTATTGATTTATATACGTTTATCTATTTTTCACATTTCTGTTTGGCTAGACAATAAAATCCAACTAAGTAAAATATTTTTGATACAACCTCTGTAAAATAGCAAAATACCAGCATCCAAGCATGTTACTATGAACTATCAAAAGAAAGTAAAGATGACATGATAAAATCAGAGGAAGTCTCTTCAAAACAATTCCCTCTTTAAAAGGCTTCCAACACATATGACAAGGACAAGATATAATTTCTACTGGAAGCTTGTTCCATAGCATAGACATTGTCACAGAAAAGCAGAAATGTCTTGCTTCAGTTTCCCAATTTGGCACCACTAAATATTCTCTAACTGAATTCACTGAGCCTATATTCATTGGAGTAGGCAGTCCTACAAGATACACAAGTGTCAAACTGTAAAATGGTTTATAGGTTAAAACCAGTATCTTGAAGTATACTCAGAAACTGATAATAACCAACTCAGGTCCACAAAATCAATGTTATATATTCCCAAGAACAGGAGTAAACACACAATTGTAGTTTGCAAATAGTTTTTAAGGGCAGCACCAAATAGAGTATATTGCTGTAGCCTTAGAAACAATGATGATCGGTTTATAAATTGGACATAAAAAAGAGAATGGAGGAACTAATTCAAAAGTAGGAGCTGCCTTCTCCCTGAGGTATCTTTTAATTCAACTCTGCTATCTTACAATCTTTCAGAAGAGAGAGTAGTAGACTTACATAGTATCTTGTAAGATCCTTTGTTTTGTGAAGAAGTTGTCGCGAGAGTTTTAAGCTCATGCTTAATTCTTTCTGCAGATCCAGCTTCTTTTCAGGAATGTTCTCAAGCCCAGATCCCTTCTCCTCTTGGAGTCCAACTGAAGGGGCAGCAAGAAGGATGTCAAACTTGAGAAGAACTTGGAGGAGGAGGAGAACTGCACCTAGAAAGAAGATTGAGACAGTTAGAGAGAAATATTTAGTGGGAAAGTCAGAAAATTGGATACTAGTGTATTTAAGCCAGAATGATGTACTTATAAAACACTGATGTTATCATCATTGTGAGAAAAATAGATACACATCCACATCATATGTTTTGAAGATCTCTCTTTTTCTGCAGAGATAAACCTGACATGTTTACCATACTTGTATTTTGAAGCAATGGGGGACAAAAATATAAAAAAATAGGAGGAACCCTCCCCCCCCAATCATTCAATCCACAATCTAAAATTAGCTGTTTCATCTTCCGTTGAGAAGTGAGTTTTTCCCATAAAATTCCTGCTACAGCATCTTAGGAACAATATGTTTATCCCAGATCTGATTTGCAGATTTGTGATCTCATCATTCATACAGGGGAAATCCATTTGAGGGGAATTTCATTTTACATAGATGCTTCCATGCAGAGACCTTTTCGGTTATGTTGAAGTTTCAGTTAATTTCTTAAAAACCGTAACTGAGATATTAATAGGCTGTGTCTGCATATGCCTCAAAGCAAAGCTGAGAATCTGCTAGGAAAATTGATGGAAATAAGAAAGGTGTAATCCAACGTTGAGGTGGTAGCAACGATAGCCACAATGAAAACATTAGTTTAGCCTTTCCCAACCTGCTGATCAAAACATACGCCTGACTAAAAGTCTTTTTAGCCTCAGCCAGAATAAGCATGTTGGGAGTTTTAATCTGAGGCAGTTTAGGGAAGTCTTGGATTATAGCAGTAGACACAAGTAGAAGGTCCTTGATCAAGTGTTCAGTTCTCTTATGCTCATGCTTTATTGTTTTCAGAGGAAGGGAAGGCTATACCTCAATCATTCAATCAGTTACAATACTCAGATGATTATTTTGTAGAAGTCTCTGTTGCATGTGATAGAAAATTCAAATGTTCTTCTTTCCTTCTCTGAAGGTAAACGATAGTACAGTAATAAAGATGACACCAGCCAGAGCATAGAAAAACTCAAAGAAATAGTGCAAGATTGGTAGATATAGAGAGACCTGATCCATCACCAAGAATGGGACTCGACTGAAGGATATAATCATCATCATCAGTACAGTAATAAACTAAATATTCTTGAACAGGTATCTTATTATTAGGTATATCCTTCTTTTCCTCCACCAAAACTCAATTGTGCACATATAGACTGCTGAGACCCTCCAGTCCAGACTTGTGATATCATCAGAGCAGGTTTTTAATAAGGACATCTGATTCACATTTTGAAGTAGGTGGAGTAGTACACATTATCAACTAAACAGACATCTCCTGTAACACCATTGTGTCCAAAGGCTGAGATTATCTACCTGCTCAACTTTGGTATTGGAGAAGACTCCAGAGAATACTGTAGACAGCCAAGAAAACAAATCAATGGATCATCAAACAAATCAACCCAGAGTTCTCTCTCAGGATTCAAATGACAAAGCTCAATTTATCTTAGTCCAGATACATTATGGGGAGACCCAGCTCTCTAGAGAAGACTTTAAAACTGGCAACGGTAGAAGGAAAGAGATGACCAGGATGACCAGATGACCAAGGATGACCAGCAGCAAGGTGGATGAACTCAAGCATTGAGTACACCATTGAAAGACCAGGTTAGAGATAGATCATGATGGAAAAAATCTATTTTTGTGGTTGTTAAGAGTCAAAGAACAACATGATAGCACATAATCAATTAATCAACCAAGTAATCCAGGATGTTTCTGAGCTGAAATCTGTGTCTTGTTATGCTTGAAATGCATATTGGAGATTATACTTCAGGTTATGCCAAGCTATATCCTTTAAAATGTAACATAAAACTGCAATCTTAGGTGCTCTACACTCCTTTCACCTAATGTGATCCTGATGATACCTCTTCTTGTCATTGATTCAGGCAGACTGGCCTCCGTTGCAAGAAACACAAATAAGCATCTTTTCACATAAGAATAACAGGCAAAAAGCCATTTTTCTTTCTTATCTTACCGCTTGGACGCATTCTGATGCTTTCCACTTCGTGGGGGGATCTCTCTTCGCTTGTTTGAGAAGTCTAATCCTGCAGCCCATTCTGAGGGCCTTTTGAAGAACACCGGCTTTCATTTTCGTGGGACACAAAATGTCCAAGATTACACTGCAGTTTGGAGTTTTGATTATCTGGTTTCAGGGGCAAAAAAACCCTCTCCCCCCAGTTATTCTTACTAGAGTTTCAGGGCGGAAGAATAACGTATTGGAAGAGCAAATATTTTTTTTTAAGTTCCTCTTTTTTTTTCTCTGAGGAAAAAGGAAATACGGCCTTGGTCACGTGAATAAGGTCCCCCTTATTCTTCAGATTCCTCTCTCTCTCTCTCAACATGTACTTTTCTGAAACAACCTACGTATTTCTGTTTTGCTCTCTGTTTGCTCCTAGTCAGACCCCCTCCTTTCTAACAAAGTATATTAGTAAAAAGTGCTGTGATTCCTAGATCAAGTTTCCCCAAAGCAAGTTTCCCATGCCATGCTAAGGTATCTGCCATAGATCCTTTATATTTCTGGCTAAAATTAACAAAGGCACCACACATCTTACTAAAATTAGAATAGAATTCTAATTCTCGAGTTGGAAGGGACCTTAGAGGTCTTCTAGTCCAATCCCTTGTTTAGGCAGGAAACCCTATACCATTTCAGACAAATGGTTATCCAATCTTTTCTTCAAAACTTCCAGTATTGGAGCATTTACAACTTCTGGAGGCAAGTTGTTCCACTGATTAATTGTTCTAACCTTCAGTTAATTTCTTCTTCGTTATAGATTGCTTCTCTCATTGATTAGTTTCCACTTATTGCTTATTGGCAGACCTAAAATTATTATGTAGCATATTAACATTGAAAGAGATCTTGAATGTCATCTCCCTGGACTACAAAAACCTATACCATTCTAATAGATTGGCCTCTCATCTCCACTGATGTTTTTTAAACAAAGGAGGCATAAACAGGTAGTCCTTGACTTATAACAGTTTGCTTAGTGACTTTTCGAAGTTACAACACTACTGAAAAAAGTGAATTATGATCATTTTCCCCACTTATGACTATTGCAGCCTCCCAATGGTTACGTGATCAAAAACCAGGCACTAGGCAACTGACTCATGTTTAGGCCGGTTACAGTGTCCTGGGATCATGTGATCCCCTTCTGTGACCTTCTGACAAGCAAAGCCAATGGGAAAGCCAGATTCACTTAACAACCTTGTTACTTACTTTAACAATTGCAGTGATTCACTTAACAACTGTGCCAAGAAAGGTCATAAAATGGAGCAAAATGTGTCACTTAGCAACAGAATTTCTAGGCTCAATGGTGATCATAAGTTGAGGACTATCTATATTCTTTTAAATGCTTATTTATACTACAAATAATTAATACAGTATTTCAACTGAATGGAATTGTTTATTTTCTATAGGATTGGTCTTTAATTCTTCATCCTACAAAAATGTTATAAAAGACATAATTGGGATATTAGGAAAAGTATAATATTGTCTGTGGCAAAGCACCAATGTCAGAATGATGACACAACTGTGATTAAATCATCGTGCAGTTGTCATCATTTACTCCTTTTTGCCGTTGCCTCTTAGCTTTCATCATTATTTTAGCAAAAACATTATGAAAAATTCCAGCTTGTTCTTTTCTGTTTGCAACTGATTCTAGCTAGTTGTGAAATTAATACTATTGTACAATAGTTTGCATGTTCTATTAAGTCTCCCTTTTTGATATTGGAATGTAGACTGGTCTCTTCCAATCTGTTGGCCAGTATGTTGTTGTCCAGATTTGCTAGCACAGATTGGTTAGAAAGTTTACTGATTCTTCGCTGTTGTTTATGATTTTTCGGTGGTATTCCATCAATTCCTGTTGCCTTCTATGTTGTTAATGACCAGAGTACTGATTCAATTTTTCTAGAAATAGAGACTCTTGTAAGTAGGAAATATCTTCTGAGATAACTTGGATGTTGTCATCTCTATTGGACAGTATTTCAGTATATTCCTTCCATATTCCTTTGATCTCCTTTGAATCCTTTGACAGAATTAGTACCTGTCCATTAGCATCCTTTAGCTTAGCATGTCAATTGGAGATTTGCTAGTGAAACTGACTAGAACACAACAACTAGAGCACAACTGCCAGGGCAGGACAAGGACAGAATGAGTTTATTTTTGCTCCGTGACATAAATTATTGGTCATGAGATGAATGTTGGTTTTTTTAATGTGACATTTCAGGAAGAATTGTATCTGTGAAGAAAGCCTGACTAAAATGACTCTACAGATAAGCAACCACATTCTTCAATTTACTGATCGCCAGTCACCAAAGACCTTCCCTTTACTTTCTCCTGATCATGGGCAGTTCAGTCCAATCCCATGTTCCATGAAGGATTCTAGTTTAAAGCAAGCAGAATCTGCCTTCTTGCAGGTTATACTTTGTACCCTGTACAATTTGATTTTGTGACCTGTACAGCATAGAACAAGTCCTTTCAGATGGATAGATGGATGGATGAAAGGTACAAAATAGATGAACGGTACAAAAAGCAGGAGGTGACCATCTCTTTTGGAGGAAAGAGAAGTACTAGAATGCTACAATATCATAATTTTTCCCAATGTTTAGGAACTGCGTGTTGTACTCATTATATAAACATAATTGATATTTCACTACTTGTTTCACTGTTTGCCATGTGCCCTCTGAACAGCAATTGAATTTGAAATTATCTTTAATGTAATATCCTATCTACACACAGAAACCTATTGCAAAAGAATGTGTAGATCTTCTCTCATGTGACTCTATTTGGAGGAGGGATAGGATTAAACAGTATTACATATTGTTTATTAATAGGCTTGTCTTAGCTATGCAAAAATTTAGAGATGGTTATCTCAGTAGAATGATCTTTGTGTTTCATGATGATTCAGCCCAGAGCTGAAACTGGAACTGGATTTCCCACTGACAACCCAAAACCTCTAGTTGCCATTGTAGATGAATAAATGATCCCTACAAACCTACCAAGAAAGTTAGAAGCAGAACGCTGACTTAGAGAAATTTCTATAGATTATTTCAGGAACTGATTACTAAAAATAATGTTTACAAGA